CCTGCCCCCCAAGGACCCCCATCCCTGCCAGGCGCAGTGGGAGCAGGAGAGCACTCACCGCTCTGGAGGAGTCTCCAAAGTCAATCTGCAGGTTGCCCATCGCCTTGATGATGGCCATGATGGACTGGATGGTGTTGCTGTAGACCACGGCTTTGTACTGCCGGCACTCCTCCTCTGAGTAACCATCCTCGTGGATGATCCTGGGGCAGGGGAGAGACACAGACAAGGTCAGCCCTTTGTGGGGCACCCTGGGGTGTTGCTCCCCAAACATGTTCTGCGGCTACACCGATGGGGAGCTTTCCCCACTGGTTTCAGAGCCTGCGGCCAAGGTCTGCACGGTGTCGGCCACAGCGACGGTGCAGGGACCACTCACTTCATCTGTTTGACAATGGTGCTCTTCCCAGACTCACCGGCACCTGAAACGAGAAGGAGGGGACAAACCGTGAGGTGCTGCCTGAAGCCAGGGACCCCCACCCTACTGGGACCCCCCCAGCCCAGGGAGAGAGGGCAGGAGGTGCCTCCGCCATTGGAGAAGAGCTTCCAGCGTTGGCCAGAGCAGATGCTTGGATGGACACTGGGAATATCAGGGCCAAGAAAGGGGGAGAAAAAGGGGAGCCTGGGGTCCACCTAACAATGACTACCAGGGGAAGAAATGACACCTGTTCCGGGCTAGGAAAATGGCATCAACACACCCTGTGGTCTCAGCACACTGCACCCAAGATGAGTGGTGGACCCGGCTTCGGCTGAGCTTGGGGACCCCCTGTGACGGGAGACTAAGCCCTGCCCATCACCTGCCATCGCAGCTCCAGGCAGAGCCTGAGTTTCACTACCGCATCCCACATCCCACATCCCCATTGTCCAGGGGGATGACGGACCACCAGCCTCACCACGGCTGGAGCCGGCAGCGGGCAGGGCGCGGAGATGCTCGTACCACCAGGTACGGGCAGGGGGACGGGTCCCCAAAGCCGAGCACCCCAGGGAATTCGGGAAGAAGCTGCCGCCTCCGCCAACCAGCTCGAGTCTGCCAGCAGGGAAAGCCGAGGGATTTTGGAGTGGGTTTATTTTTCAGCATCCAAACACAGGATGCCAGGGGTCCAGAGAGGACGGCCAGGACGCCTCAGGCTCCCCCTCCGCCACCCTGTCCCCCTTGGGGACATCACCCCGGCTGCAAAAGCGACGTGCAGCTCCCGGCCTGACCCTCCCTCCCCGGGCTGGGAGCAGGGAAGGAGCAAAGTCACCCCGGCTGCAGAAAAGGGGAAGCTCAAAGAGGAAGCTGAAAGGGACGACGCATGTCCCTTGTCCCCTCTCCGGGTAGGGAGTGCCACCGAGACGGACGAGCGCCTGGTTCCCCCCACCCCAGGACCCCCAGCAGGATGAGCCCCCTTTGGCTGGGGACCACTGCGGTCGCTGCCTCCAGGTGCCAATCCCAGGGGATCCCCCGCAGCAGAGCCCATCCCTGTGCCCTCTCCCACCCCTCTGGAGGGGTCCCCCCCCAGTGCTGCCCTGGGCCACAGAGCTGCCCTTACGGGGGGCCCCAAGCAGGCAGCGGTAGGGCTGTGCCAGCACGGCCGCAGAGGGGGAAGAGAGATTACAGAGGAGGGAAAAACATTAAAAAAATTAAAAAAAAAAAAAAAATTAAAAATGGAGATTATGCTAAAATTAACCAGGAAAAACAGAGCCCGTCATACCAGCTGAGACACGGTGGCAGGGAGCAAATGCCCGCTGGCTGTGCCTGTGCCACCGGCATAAATGCAGACTATGTGATGGGTACATACCCCCACGGACATCGCTCGGGGCGCGGAGCCCCCCGCGAGGTTGGGGCCACACTGAGGCTATAGAGACCCTCGATTTACTGCCACGACCACCCCACTCCGCTGTTCCCACGCTGTATGTGCTTCGCTCAGCCCCGAGGGGAGCGCTCGGCTCGGCGGGGGCTCCCCGGCGCCGCCGACCCAACCTCCCCCCGGCGCCCTCGGGATGCTGACGCGGCAGCCGGCACAGCCCGGCCAGCGCTGCCGGCCGGTGTTCGTGGTCAGCGCTGGCAACTCCTGCCCAGAGCTGGGAGCAGGGGGTGGGAAGGGGAAGGACTCAGTGTATCCCTTCATTTTTTCCATGAAATATCTCTGGTTTCTGGCAACACCGCCCCGTACCGCCGATTTCGGCAGCATTCGCCGTGCCCTTCCCCGATGGGTACCCGGATAGGGAAACTGAGGCACATAGCAAGAGACGACCCTGCTTATAAGCATCCCTGGGGCAAGGTGCCAGACAGTCATCCCCCAGCCTGACCCTATCTGCCATTTGTCCCTGCCTGGGAGGGGGACAACCCCCCCCCAGCGATCTCCTGCCCGCTCCTGGCTGGGCAGGAGTGACCGGCA